TCATAGGTATATTATTGCTTAGTATGATACTTGTCACATAGTAATTGCTCAATAAATTTTCTCCCATTTTCTAGCTTCATAATCCAACCCAATGTTCTAGCACATTGAATTCCTTAATCAGTCCCATATAGACCCCAAACTTTTTTTTTATACATTTGTATCTTACTTCTTGTTTTCTTTCCACCTGAAATACTTTTCTCTGTCTCTACCTGGTGAATACCTCTTTTTCCTTCAAAACAACTTGAATCTCCCCTCCTCTGTGAAACCTTCCCCCATACCCCCACCTTTGCTCTCAGCTTCTGTAACATCTCGTATACATCTGTTATAGCCCTTGAAAGTCTGCTATAGTTACTTATATTTTTGCCTCTCTATTAGGCTGTGATTTTGAGGAGGCAGAGACCAAGTCTTATTTGTATTCATACAGCATTAGGAAAGGGTCTGGAGGAGGCTGGGAAAATGATGTGAGAATCATGGTTAGAGGGATTCATTTTTCATAAAAGGACAAATTCTTCCTCTGAAACAAAAGGGAAAGAACTGTAGATGTCTGGATAGTAAGAATGTAGGAAGCATTTTTTTTTTTTAGTTTTTTTTTTTTTTTTTTTTTAATATTTATTTATTTATTTTAGTTTTTGGCGGACACAACATCTTTGTTTGTATGTGGTGCTGAGGATCGAACCCGGGCCGCAGGCACACCAGGCGAGCACGCTACCGCTTGAGCCACATCCCCAGCCCTTTTTTTTAGTTGTTGACGGGCCTTTATTTTATTTACTTTTATGTGGTGCTGAGAATTAACCCAGTGCCTCACATGTGTTAGACAAGTGCTCTATCACTGAGTGTAGTAAGCATCTTTAAACCCAAAAGGAAGGGGTGAACTCTCGAGGGGAAAAACTCCTAAGGGAGGAAGACCTCAGGAAGAAGAGGCTACCTGAAGAGATAAGGGGAGTGAAGGAGAAGTGGCACATGGTGTGGTCTGACCCCTTTTCTTCATAGATGTGTGAGGTCTCAGAATGTAACCAGCAATGCCTGGGCTGGCCAGAAGGGTTCTTGGTCCTGCAAAGAGAAAAAGCCCGTTCCACCTGGAACTAGACTGATTGCCTTGATTCACATCAGATTCTGTCAATTTGGGAGAGAGAAGCTAGAGCCACCAGCTGCAGGGAAGAGAGAAGATTTGCAGTGATGTGGAGGAGAAGTGATGAAGGGTTAGTGGTGGTATGGAACCACGGAGAGCTATTTGGGTAGAGGCACTGTGGGAAGGATGGCAGGGAATTCTGGCAGCAATGCAATTCTCAGAAAGTATGGCAAGGGTAGCAGACTGAAAGCAGCTGGAGGAATCACTGGTACATGTGACTGCACTGCCATTTGTTCTAGTTGGCATCCTGCACTAAAGCGAGTCTGTGAGTCCCACTTCTGGTGGCCTGTGGTACAAGTGGGGCTGAAAAAAAGAGCAACACATGCTATTTGGACTTTTGCTCTAGACTGTTGGCCCAAGCTTCTTGTGTCATTTTATAATCTACAAAGCATCCTAACAAGCATTTTCAGATGACACTTCAAAAACAACAAGCCGATATCTTGGTCAGAGTACTGCAATGCAAATGAAGAAACTGTGAATGATTTAAGAAAAAAGTGGGGGCTGAGGGTGTAGCTCAATGGCAGAGCTCCTGCCTAGCATGTTCAAGGCTCTGGGTTCAATCCCCAGTATGGGGATGAGGGATGTAGAGAAAGAATTTACTAAAAGGATATAGAGTTGACAGAAAGCCTGGAGAGTCAGATATGCAATGGGGCAATAATCTAGGAAGGCCCAGGCAGCAGGTAGCAGGCATCACAACCCTATCCTTGCCTCAGGAACAATCTGGCATGCCACCATCACCACGATAGAGATACCACCCCTTACCCCAACCCTCACCTAAGAGTCACTGCTGTTGAACACCTACTATCTCTGTTGCTATGACAAATTCTAAAATCATCTCTTTTTTTTTCTTTTTCTTTTTTCTTTTTGTGGTGCTGGGAATCAAACCCAGGGCCTCATGCAAGTGAGGCAAGCACTGTCTGGGTTATGCTTCTAGCCCTTATTTCTGTGTATCATTTGCTGAAGATTCCATTTGCTGAACATTCAAGAGTGATGGGGTGGGTGGGGGGGGGTTGTTGCTGAGCCTAGGCCCTGTGTCATGTTCTAGCTGCTGGGAACAGGGAGAGGCAGTAGCCCCCTGCTCCAGCTTCCCTCATGGCATCGATACTACATAGAAAGGGGTATTCCCCAAATAGGAAGGAGTTTAGATCTGGTGGTAAACAAAACAAAATGTCCACCATATCCCATTTTTCCTCTTCTTTCATATTGCTCTTTCTTGGTAGTTCCTTTTTTTTTTTTTTTTGGCCGGTTGTCAATTGCGATCACAATCCCAGGCTCCTAGGTTAAAGCTTTAGACTCATCCTCATTTCCTTTGTTTTCTCATCAGGATTTGCCTTGCTTTCTTACCACTACTGATTTAGTAACATTACTTTAGCAACTGCTAAAGCATAGAGGAATTAGAAATCAGGGGTCAGAATTCTAGAGTGTTAGAGCTGGGATAGACCTTTGAACTTAACAAAGTGGTATTTCAGGGCTGGGGATGTGGCTCAAGTGGTAGCACACTCGCCTGGCATGCGCGGGTGCTGGGTTCCATCCTCAACCCCACATAAAAATAAAATAAAGATATTGTGTCCATCTAAAACTAAAAAATAAATATTTAAAAAAATGGTATTTCATAGGAGTATGTATTAGAATTTTTATAGCACATCCTGGCCCTCCCCATCTATTTTTTTGAGTTCAGTAGATCTGAGGTAGGATCTTGGGAGGCTGGGAGAAACAGACAGACAGACAGACAGTGTGTGTGTATTTATGTGTCTGAATTGTTTTAAAGATGAGGAGACTGAGGTAGCTGTTTGAAATCACACCATCAGTTAATGAAAAGGGTCAGAAGCAAGCACAGATCTCCTGGCATCTGGTCTAGTGCTACTCAGGCCTCTTGCTATTCCGTTCTGCAAAAGAAAATTTCCTGGTTTCATTCGTATTGAAGAAAGTATGCTACACTGTCGTGGCTCAGTTCCTCCAACAATAAACAGGTCCTTCAGATTAAGAGGCCCAAGTCATCAAGAATGAATAGCCCACATGAAGGGCCTGTTTCTAATGGTTGTCAGCTTGATCTCTGAACCACAGGTCTTCCTTTGTAGAACTGGGGAAAATGTCTTTAAGAACCTTAAGTGGGGAAGATAGTGAGGAAGTCCCCCAGCCAAGGCCACACTTCTGTGTCTGGCAGGATTGTCTCTGGGCCTTTGTGCACACAAATATTTGTTTCAATTATTCACTGACCCTTCTTCAATTCTTGAGTGTCCTTTAGCCATCTGGTTCTCATCATGAGAATCCATCTTTTATTTCTGCTCTCTGACTTTGACCAATCACGTCATTGGATTGATTTGCCACCAGCTCTGGGCAATCTCATGGAAACCCAGGGCCTCTGATGCCTTCTATTAATTACATTAAGTTGCTTTTTTTTTAAAAAATTTTGTTCTCTTTTCTAAACTTCTGCTTTTCTATAAAGATTCCCAACAGGAAATGCCATTTATATAATGTCTTCCTGCTCCAAAATCTGTGTTAGGGCAAAGAAAGCAAAGAGTGGGACTCTGCTGTAGAACTCTATCAGAGGGGAGCCATTTTCCCCATACCCTTTGCATCCAGAAAGGGAACTGACATCAAAGTCTGAACACCTCACCCTAGCCCAAGCAGGAATGGCATGGTTAGAGCTGGCTTTTAGGAAGCAACTTTTAAGAGCTGTGGAGGATGGATTAGAGGAAAGGAAGCTATGGGAAGGGAGTCTATCAATAGAAGCTACTGCAATAATCTAGGGGACAGACGATGATTGGGTAGTGGGAGTGGGATGAAGAGGAGGGAATAGGTGGGAAAATAGTCATTTTAGTTGGAAACTGACAGTACTAAGTAACTGAAAAGATATGGGAGATGAGGATGAAGTTAAAGATGAGCAGGTTTAGAGCTTGAGGACCTGGGAGGATGGGACTTTTAACAGAATGAGGGAAATAAGGGCTGTTTTGAAAGGAGGGTGGAAGACAGTGACATTAGTTTTGTACATGAAGGATGCAGACCTCCAAGGATATTTCCATCAGGCAGCTGAATATGCAGGGTTGGACTCAGGGTCTGGGCTGCAGATAACAGTTTGTGAGTTTCAGGAGAAAGGGGCAAGGTAAACCAGGGGAGCTTGCAGAGTGAGAAGAGAAGGGGTGGAGTCCTGAGCCTGGAGAAACATTTGCATTTAAGCTGAGGGGGGGGGGGCGGAGAAGAAGAGGGAGATAGAGATATATAGAGATTACTCAAGGAAGGAGAGGGAGCTAAAGGTGTGTGTGTGTGTTGGTGGTGGTGGGGGGGGATGGAAAAGTGTAGTTTTGCCAGTCAAGGGAGGAGAGTTTAAGGGAAATGGAGACAGAAGATGAGATGAGGTCTGACAAGAGGTTGTTACTCTCTGCAGTCAGTTACTGAATTGAAGACACTCGTCATGGTAGGCCTCATTTTGGTCACAAATCACCATAATCCTTACGGGAAAGCACAGGCCCTCACATCAAATAAAGTACTAAGGCAGGTTTCTGGATACTTCACAGGCTCCCCACTCACTTTAACCTGTTATCAGGGTATTGAAGAACAAGTGTAATTCCTTCAGAAAGTTTAGAATTTCCAAATAAATCCATCGTCTAGAATTTCCAAATAAATCCCTCCAGCTCTCATCCTCATTGGGTTCAGTAGTAGGAAACTGCCAAGATTATGGAAGGCGAGGCTAAAGCCCGGATATATAAAGAATGACTAATAAATATTAATGAGGTGCCCCCTCCGACCAATCAGGCCGAGGGAGAACCTTTTCCTGGTCCATTGGAGCCCCGCCCTCTCATGAATATGCAGATAACGCTGCCCGCCGCGCATTGCCCCGCCCTCTACTCTTCTCCCTCGCAACGGACTCTCCCTTCAAACGGGAAACAAGATGGCGGCGGCAGGTCCGAGTACTCGGGCCTCTTCCGCGGCGGCAGCGGCGGCTCTGAGTCGGCGGGGCCGGCGGGGCCGCTGTGACGAGATGGCGGCAACGAAGAGTGGGGCCCCGGGTCAGGGATCTGGCCCTGCGTTGTTGGTGTTGCCACCGCCACCGCCGCTGCCGGAGGAGTCGAGCTGCGCCGGGTGCCTGGAGACCCCAGGGGAAGCGGCGGCCCTGCCGTGCGGCCACTCGCTGTGCCGAGGCTGCGCCCAACGCGCCGCCGACGCGGCGGGCCCCGGCTGCCCGCGCTGCCGCGCCCGCGGCCCGGGCTGGGCCCGCCGTCGAGCCCGCGACGACGGCCAGGCCGACGCGGAGGTGCTGGGCGAGCGCGCCCGCCGCGGCCAGCCAGAGCGCTGCCGCCCGCGCCGGGACGGGGGCGCGGCCGCTGCGGGGCCCAGGCCGGAGCAGGAACCTCGCGCTGCGCCCGCGGAGTCAGGTGGAGCTTCCCCTCCTTCCCTAGGGGTCTGGAGAACTGCCCGGCTGTTCTGGCCTGGCCTGGTTAGGGGGTGGTGAGTCCCGGGCCCCACTCGGGCGGCTGTGGAGAGTTCTTATGGAGTTGCAACTGGGCTCTGCCCAGGTGTAGTATGTTTCTGAATTTTGAACTTTGGAATGAACTACGGACAAGTTGGATTTGGAGGGGCAGTGAGGAGACCTCGCGTCTTACGTACGTCATAAGTTTGGAGGGAAACAATTCTTGGAACAAGTTAGGGACAGGTTGGAATTAGCGTGTGGAGGGGAGGGGCCCTGGAGAATCGCAGAAGCACTTGGTTTTAGTGGTGGATCAACAGCTTGAGGTCTTGCTGCTTGGAGGGATGTGGGTCTTGGGCCTGAGTGGTTCGGCCAGGGGTATGGAGTAGCTGGAGTTTAGGGGACAGGTTGAATTTGGGGATGTGAAAGAAGATTTTTAGATTTAAGAGCAGAGTGTGTTGGAGAATAAGCCCACGTGCAGTTTTTCATAACATCTCGAAAAGTGCATGGTTAGCACAAGAGCGTGGCGTATAATGAGGGAGCGATAATTGACAGCTATTTATATTTATGCTAATTATAACAATAAGAGCCAGTAGTGCTCCACAAAAAAGCTGGGTGGGGTTTAAAAGGTTTGGAAATGAAGATTGGTTGGCTGCGGGCCGCTGCTAATTCTTTAGCAATGTTTGTTTTCTTCTGTTATCCTAGCAGTTGAAAAGTTTGTTGCAGGACCCTTGCCTTAACTTCTTTCCTTTCTTATCATCAATAGCCTACCAATCATTGGTGCTGAGCTTTGAGATAGAGTCCTAGGTTAAACACAAATCTTATTTTAAGTGGGGAAAGGGAAGCATTGTGTATGAAAGGGCAGCCCCTAGAAATTACGGGTTCCTAAAAGCAGTCTGTTTCAGGAACTGGTCAGAAACACCTGCCACGGTTCTAGGAAACCTTGCCTTGATTTCTTGGGTTGAGGGGGATCTACATCTTATTTTATTTTTTTAATATTTATTTTTTAGTTTTCAGCGGACACAACATCTTTGTTTGATGTGGTGCTGAGGATCGAACCGGGCCGCATGCATGCCAGGCGAGCGCGCTACCGCTTGAGCCACATCCCCAGCCCTACATCTTATTTTCAATGCTCCTTGTTATTCCTTTTAAATGTTATAACATCCCTATAAGATAGGGACTTTTATTTCCATTGTATAAATGAAACTGAGGTCCAGAGAAGTTGAGTAACTTAACTAATGATGAAAATTCAGATCCATCTAATTCCTGCTCAGTTAATTTGCTTCAGATTTTGAGATTAGGGTCAAAATATAAGATAGTACTTGTTTGGTCTTCCTATCAGAACTATTGACTATATGGTGTGGTCAAATAGGTTAGATTTTTATTTTTGGTGGGGGGGGATACCAGGGATTGAACTCAGGGACTTAACCACTGAGCCACATCTCCAGCCCCTTTTTAAATATTTTATTTAGACAGGGTCTCACTGAGCAGCTTAGGTCTTGCTAAGTTGCTGAGGCTGGCTTTGATTTTGATTTTCCTGCCTCAGCCTCCGTAGTCTCTGGGATTGCAGACGTGGGCCACCATGCGGGCAGTTAGAAATTTTAAATTTTATTTTCTAAGCCTGGAAATCACTACAGAAGTATCAGGTCTGAAATTTGAATCACTTAAAGGAAGTATGGCTTGCTAATTTGTGCAAATTTATTGTCTTTAAAAAAATTGTCATAAAGGATTGAAATATATTCCTGAATGAGGTTCGGGGATTATCTTTTAGCTTCAGTGGGTTTCCTGAATATACTGAAGTTCTTCCTATATAGTATCTTTTTAAAAAATTGTTTTTTAGTTGTAGATGGTCACAATACCTTTATTTGATAGGTTTATTTTTATGTCATGCTGAGGATCAAACCCAGTGCTTCACATATGCTAGACAGGTGCTCTACCACTGAGTTACAACTCCAGCCCTATACAGTATTTTTTTAATTAAAAAATTTAATTTAAAATAATATACATTCACATGATTCAAATAAACGTATGAGAACGTACACAATAAAAGATATCCTCCTACCCCTTACTTCCCACTTCCATCAAAGATTCTTCTTTATTTTTCTACAGAAAATGCAAGAATAACTGATTTTTGTCCCTGTTAGATAAAAGGTTGTATTTACATACTCTGTGAATTGCTTTTTTTGCTTAACAATACATGATGAAAATCTTTACATACCAGTATATAGAAAATTTTTTCATTCTTACAGTGAATGGAATTTCATTGAGTACATCTATTTGTAGACATTTAGGTTGATTCTTACCTTTTGCTGTTATAAATATTTTTTCATAAAATTTTATGTGTTTGTATTTTTATGGGTAGGTCATTTGTAGCTTTCAACTGATTCTCCTAATTTTTAAATGTTGAGTGCTGGGGATATAGCTTGGTAGAGTACTTGCCTCACATGTACAAGGCCATGGGTTCAATCCCCAGCACCACAAATAAATAAATAAATAAAAATTGAGAACTACTGTTTTAATCCAGGTCCCTCATTATATAGAAGAGAAAACTTGTGACACTACAACAGAGAAGAAAGTTACTAGTTACAGGTTTTTGTGAGTGGGTAAACAAGGGCTGAAAGAGTAATCCTATAAAAAGGGCCGAAACACAGCTTAATTCACAGTGAAGTTTCATGATGGCTTTTTACAGAGAAAACTACAAGTACCAATTTCCTAAATATTTACATTGCACTTGTATGAATAACAAACAGCAACAGTATAGCAATTTTAGGAATATTCTGAAGTATATAGCTTATTGGTATTTTGGCATAGTTAGGTCAACTGATAAGGGAAAGTTAGAGCTTTATAATACTGGGAAAAATGAAATTCTTAAGTTTTTAAAATTTTTTGGTACTGGGCATTGAATTTAGGGCTGTTTTATCTCTGAGTTATATCCCCAGATCCCCAGTCCTTTTTTATTTTTTATTTCGAGACAGTATCTTGCTGAGTTGTCCAGGCTGGTTTGTAACTTATCATCCTCCTGCCTCAGCCTCCTAGTCTTGGGGATCACAGGTGTGTGCCATTGTGCCTTGCATTTTTTTTGTTGAAAAAGGTTTCACTGTATTGTGTATTGCCCAAGCTGGTCTTGAACTCCTGGGTTCAAGTGATCCTCCTGCCTCAGCCTCCTGAGTAGCGAAGACTGCAGACATCCACCACTATTACACCTGACTTAATTAATTAAACAAGGAAATTTTTTTTTTTTTTTTTTTTTTTAACATCCAGTGTTTTGGAATTGGATTGTCTGGAAAAAGTGCAAGAGTTTGTCCTTGCTGAAAAGTTTGGTTGTACTGTTGATTTCTGTGTTGTGCTAACTTCTTGGTAAGCTTTAAGTTTTTTTTTTTTTGGTAGCGAGGATTGAACTCAAGGGCATTCAACCACTGAGCCACATCCCCAGTCCTATTTTGTATTTTATTTAGAGAGAGGGTCTCAGTGAGTTGCTTAGCACCTCGCTGTTGCTGAGGCTGGCTTTGAACTCACGATCCTCCTGCCTAAGGCTCCTGAGCCGGGGGATTACAGGTATGCACCACTGTGCCCAGCAGCTTTAAATTTTTTTTTTTTTTTGGTAGTTCTGGGGATTGAACCCAAGGCCTTGTACATGCAAAGCAGGCACTTTACCAACTGAGCTATATCCCAGCCCAGCTTTAAGGTTTTGAAACCTTAATGACCCTTGTGTAAATGGTTTATTTCTTAATATGTATGTCAGTTTGATTGTGTAGATATAATATAAGTTTTTGTTGATTTATGAAAACATTTTTGTGAAGGCTATGTCAGTGATCATGTCAAGATGTCAAAAAACTTCATCTTCTTTGAGTATCTGCTGCACATCATTATATTGATATATTAAGTATTTTGGGGGCTGGGGATGTGGCTCAAGCGGTTGCGCGCTTGCCTGGCATGCGTGCGGCCCGGGTTCGATCCTCAGCACCACATACAAACAAAGATGTTGTGTCCGCCGAAAACTAAAAAATAAATATTAAAACACACTCTCTCTCTCTCTCTCTCTCTCTCTCTCTCTTTTTCAAAAAAAAAAAAAAGTATTTGGACCATCTTGAGCAGTATTCAGTGATGTTACAACGAGTGCTTATTCTGTGCCAGACACTATACTAGGTCCTTGGGAAACATTATTGAATGAAATATTAAAGATAACTCTCTCATGGAACTTACATTCTAAATTTAGAGACAGTCCTGATCTATTGATTTTTAAAAACATTTACCACAGACATACACAGGTTGATTTTGAATTATAAATGACAGCTGCACTGAAGCTTCATTGAAAATGATTCGTGGATTTAGGACAGTTCTTTTCTTTTACCATAGGTAATGATAGAAAAGCTGGACAAAGCCTGATGAATCTTTTAAATTGACAGTTTGGCTGGGCATGGTTGGTAGTGCATGCTTATAATCACAATAGCTTGGGAGGCTGAGACAGGAGGATTTCAAGTTCAAAGCCAGCCTCTGCAATTTAATGAGGCCTTAAGCAACTCAGTGAGACCCTGTCTCTAAATAAAATATAAAAGAGAGCTGAGAATGTGGCTCAGTGGTTAAGCACCCCTGGGTTCAATCCCTGGTACCAAAAAAAAAAAAAAAAAAATTCGACAGTTTTTTCTTCCCCCCTACTTCTGTGTCAAAGTACATTTCAAAATAGAATAGATCAAGGGCTGGGGTTGTGGCTCAGCGGTAGAGTGCTGCCCTAGCATGGGCGAGGCCCTGGGTTCAATCCTCAGCACCACATAAAAATAAATAAATTAATTAAAGATATTGTGTCCAATTACGATTAAAAAAATAAATATTTTTAAAAAATGGAATAGGTTAAAAAAATTGAATAGTGTCTCATTTATTCTTTTTCTTTACCCTAGCATACATTTAAAAAATTTCCTCTTTCTGTGACACGCAGAGAGTTCTGTTTATTACTCAATTGACAGAAAGTGT